GAGGATAATATTCCACATTCTGTCTGAATGTTCTTTTTTCTCCCCCCTCCCTCACTGACATTCGAAAACTCTTGTCGGAAAAAGAGCTGGGAGAGACAAACATTTGGCTGCTTCTCTTTCCTCCTTAATGGCTGAAAAATGCTAATTGGCGCGCACGTGTCAAGGAAAACAAAAGGCAAGGGAGGAGGAGAGGGAAGGAATGTGCGTGTCAGAGAGGCTGGTATTTTGAAATGTGAAATATGTCACTTTATTCAGCCAAGTTGGGACGGATTTTTAGCAAGGTTGTTTGAGGAAGTGGGAAATCTCGTCGTTTACACCGTTTGCCTGAGTAACGTTTGACCCGTGGTGGTGTGTAGCGTTTAAATAGGGGTTTTTTTTTCTTTTTTTGGGGGGGGGGCATCCTGATGCTCTGCATTTACTTTGCTCATACTTTGTTTCCGCCACAGCTAATGTAAACAAGCTGAAGCGGCTCAGTTCAGGTTCTGCGTGCTGTAAAATAACACCTCGAATCCCTCCGAGACTCCAATCCTTTAATAAACTTGCATCTGTCACCGCTGCACCGCACTTCATCACGTTCTTCGTCCAAACTGACAGAATCAAAAAAAAAAAAAGCCCAGGTGGGGATTACAAACCTTTAATTGCATTGTCAAAACTACAGCAACACATTTTTTTAAACTCTTCACTTTAAACAAGTCATGGAAAAAGTAAATCTCTATATCAAAAATATATAAAAAAAAAAACCCTCTCCTTCACTCCATACTCACACTTGGCATTTTAATTATGCAGTCTTATCTGATAGATGTGGAGATATATCTCGTGTCAAAGTTAGAGCCTGTTCTTTATTAATTTTTTATTATATATTCTTATATTCGGGCTGTCAATGATTGTCGGGAATCTGATAGGACCCTTCATTGATTGAAGATTATTCAAGATTATGAGGAGAGGTATTATCATAAGCCGTGAGCTTTCAACATTCGAAATCTTAACTTATTTGAACGATTCTAAAAGCAAAGATTACACCCTATTTCAGTCCACTATAAATGCGTTTATGAGTCCAGCAGTGTGCCCTGCAGACGGTAACAACACCCCCAACAGCAAATCTGCAGTGCACTTATCATACTTGTATGCCAGCAGAGCCCAAACCTTTTGACATCAGAGGTCTTTGGCTGCAAAAAGCTTGAACGGTTAGCCACAGGCCAAAAATATGCAACGCCGCATTAATTATTTATAAATATTAAGAGGAAGGCATTAAATTCATGCTTTTTTCCAGCAGGATTTTTTTTTCCAATAATCTTTGCCATTAGCATGATTACATAAAATAGATCCTTAAACTGAAATGATAAGCATAGATTTTTCAGAATAAAAGCACAAATGAATGCCTAAGGGTAACAGATATGTTTCTAAAATGTGAATAAAGCAATCCTGCAGATTATGTTAGTCTCAAAACCTTTTTAGTATTAATAATTTATCCGCTGATATACATTTATAGTTCTGGTGTGTTAACTATCATTTAGCTTATTATTAAACTAACTGTTGGTGTGGTCCATTGTGTAATTCATCAAATGGGAAAACATTACAACAATTCCTTCTTAAAGTACTAAAGACATTTACAATTTTTTTTTATCTCTCAGATATATAAAAGTTTTACATTTTGTGTAAAAGTTTCCCATTTAAAACAAAAGTCAAACAAACTTTAAATTAAAGTGGCAGAATTAACAGAACGTCACAGTTTGCGTAGCCTCAATACAAACTGACACTGCCCACCCTCCCCAAAGGAAAAGTAAACAAACCGTGTGTGGCCTAAACACATATTTTTATTTATTTATTTTATTTCGATTTTTTTCCCCCAACAATGCTCTCTAAGATGCTGACTACGATGACAAAGATGATAACAAATGGAGCACAAGAGTTGAAATAGTACTGAAGGAAAAGATAAAAGAGGAAGAAACTAAGAGGATAAGTGGAAGACAATGGATGGATGAATGGATGTTTACTGTGTTGTGTGTTTGAGTGCCAAGTACGAGGGTACTGTGCACAAATTTGATCAAAATGTGAAAGAACAAACCTCAAGGCATAAGTGGATTTATTCACTTTTTTAACAACTTTAGATTCTACAAAAATGTATTAGACGGCGTACAAAACTAGGTCTAAATAGTAACAGAGCCCTGCTGTTGAGCTCTCTTATCATTAGTATAAACTGAATTTAAAAATGATCATTACACTGCCTGGAAACAGTAAACAAATACACATATAATTTCCTACTTTTTCCTCAGTGTTCTTTATGTATACGCCAGTCCGGCATATAATTCACAGATTACTTTTGACTGCAGCTAGAGCAACAACACAGTCGTTATTAAAAGTAACAGCATTTGCTCGGCAAAATAATTGCGTTTGGCATTATTTGGTCATCTGAGACTATCAGTGTTTTCAAAGTACCTCACCTGATTTGACAACCCGCAGGACTTGTTTGCATTGTGATCCGCTAGACTGTATAAACAGCTTTGCTTTGCATCATCATGTCAGACCTAGAAAGAGGAAAAGGAAGGAGACAAAAGGAAGCAAAAACTATAACGTATGTAGATATACACAGAGGCTGCATGGATGTTCTCACAGCTCTGAGAGGCTATCTCCATGCAGAAAACGCGTGACATGTCATCGTGCTGTCAGTGAGCTGTAGTTAAGTGGAGGAAGGTGCTTTGTGTGTACAAGTTGGGGGTGGGAGGCGGGAAACAACTGTTTCTGTGTTTGGCAATTCTCGTTCGCACACATGGACACGAGTGGCTGAATCACAGTTAGAGGATCTACTATAGCGAGCAGTTTGGATCACAATCTCCAAATCGCAAGACACCGACTTTCACTTGTACACCTAACACCCTATATGTTAGGTGAGAGGTTACACGGAGAGGGGCATTTATTAAAAAGCGCGTGTGTGTGTGTGTGTGTGTTTCAACAGGCTGTTGAAATTCAGCTCCAAGGTCACTAACGTATACGCGTCCTCAAACAAGATGAGGGAATAAGAGAAAAAGATGGGAAAAGAAACAATACTGCAGCGTCTCAGTGCATGTGCAGGGATGTTTTAAGTGCTGAGATGGCTCTCTGCCCTTTTCCCTGAACCACACGTCCCCACCCCGGCCTCAGATCAGCTCTTGCACGGCCGTCTCCTCTCTAAGCCTTTTGCTGCCCCTCCGCAAAATTCTTACAGATGCAAAAGATCAAAAGTTAATGTCAATTAATCTATTAAAAAATTTTTTTAAACAACTATTACATTCTTTCTATTTCATATTTCATCATTATTGACTCAATTCAGATTAGATTTCCGTGACCTCTTTGTAGTATTTTAAAGTTCAGCATATATCTGAAAATGTAAAACTGATCAAACTTTTGTTTTTCATTATACTAGTATTGATGCTTATTGCTGTTTTTTAGCAGTGGATTAGTTTGTGGCGGTGGCTATGCAGCCAAACTGGTTCTATATTACTGCATTAATAGCTTCATCACAAAACACAGCAATGCAGCATGAACATATATAAGAATAAGCAAAGGTAAGATGTTTACTAGTTAGTTAATGGCAACAATCAGAATTATTATAATGAGGATAACATATACTACAAAACAATAGATATTAAATCATTACATTTGTTTTCCAGTAAATGTGTGTTCACGTTCAAAAATGAAGGAAATGAAACCTACTAATCAGTCTAAATAAACAGAAATGTGTGTGTGTGTGTGTGTGTGTGTATGTATTTCTATTCCACAGCTGTGTTAGCTTTATATGAAAAGCACCATAAGATGGAGAAACGCAGCTCTCCTGTCTGTCCGCAGACTCTGAGATGGAAATATTAGTGACGTAAGTCTGTTCCATCAATCAGCAGCCAGGCAGGGACAGACAGATGTTGGGGCGGTACTTGGTATTTCTTTTACCATATAATAAGCCACCTCAGACGTGTTCCCTGCGCAGATTAGGAGTTCTGCAGACAGATAGGAGGCTTGCTCCAAAATAAACTCGTCAGTCGAGAAGCAGAAAACTTCTCTGCTGTTCGTGATCCATACTTACTACCCGGTCACTGTGAACACGCCAAATTACCTGAAGGATAAATTAGGAAACTCACCCGGAATTAGTCAAAGCGGGAGTGGAACGGCTGGGAGATTTGTTTTGGGGTTTTTTTAAAATCCAGTTTCTTCCTTGATCCGGTCCAAACCCTCTGCTTTACAGCCTGAACTGAAGCCGGTGTAGCTGGATGAATAATAAGTCCGACGCCTGGCTGCAGACGGAGCGCACACAGTCTGTGCCAGATTTCATGGCATCCAAGTTATGCTGTGATTATCACCGCACCCTCTATCGGGCTCAGTGTAAAGCAAATTTCAGACTTTTCCTCCTCTCCTTCACCGTGCTCCTCGGCGCTTGCCGCATCAGTCGGCTATACCATGATGCCTCATTAGAAATAACACTAGCCGAGATTGTGTGCTCTTTATAAACACTTTATGGTGGATAATAGTTAGGATGGAGTGTAGGCTATTAATGGAGCCTCTTGCGGATTCAGAGCCCCTCCCCTTCCCTCACCAGAAGCCCCACTTTAAAAAGGTGTAACGAATCGATCTTCAGCCTTCTTTGTCCCCCTAAAGAGGTCACCAAAAATATCCACATTTTTTGGTTTTGTTTTTGCAAAACTTTGAGACCAAAAACTGACAAAGGAAATGCTGCAGCAGCATCTTATCTAGCTGAAAACTCAAGTGCAAACATTATTTTTTCCTGTTCTCCAAGTAAAACGTTGAAAGAAATTTATATTCTTATACATTATTAGAAAAAAAACCCTCCAGATTCCAAGCAGCTTGTAGTTGAATTATTGTGTGTTTGATGCTTGAAGTTGCAAATCTAACAGTTAGCCTGGCCTGGCAAATATCTTCTTTATTATGTAGGATCAATAACATCTGCCTGGTGCTTCAAAAATAATCAACAAATGTATTTTCTGTAGGTAAAAGATATGCCCCGAGTCCTCATTTCACTTAAAACTTTATTTGGCTGTAAGTTTGTGTAGCAGTGACTGTTACATCAAATATCTCTCTCACACAAACATACACACACACACACACACACACTTTTCTTACTTTTCCAGGCACCTCTCATTTCTATTGTCTGGAAACGAGGTTGCACATCGCCTCCTCGTGTGTCCAGGAACAGGACGCACCTTTCTTGGGGACAGCAGGGCGTTGAAATGAAAGCCGTCCCAGTGAACAATTAACAGCCGCAGATTGACAGGTGGGCTCTGACTGTCAGGGTGACGCTTGTGGAGGGGTGGAGTAAAGGAGAGGCCGGAAAGGCAGCTGGATGTGTCTGTCTATCAGTGGGAGCTGTCGGAACGCACCACGCATCACCAATGTGCGCACATTTCACTGCGGAGAAATATCCGGGGACGCTCCTCCTTGCGCCTATAAAATAAATAATAACAATAAATAAAAATCAGGGAATAATAACAGCTGAGACCCGGAATCTGCTCGCTTTTTTCCTCTTTCTATCTTTTTTTTTCTGTGATGACTTTGTGACAAATTCGTCAAGTGTCCGTGTTGACAGTCGGGCGGTAAGCGTATGTGAGTAGCCTGTTTCTTTATCCAGTGGGTGCTTTCAGGGAGATGGGATGTGAGTTGATTGCTCCGGGGTTTCCACACGCTCACACTTGACTGATTGACATACACCCAGCCCGCCTAACGTGTCACTCTTTCCTCTCCTTTTTTCTCCCCTCCTGATTTCCTCCTGTAGCTGGAGGAGACCGGAGCTGTGGCACCTGGACGGAGGGAGAGATCGCAGTTTTGGACTCATCTTCACCGCGGAGTGTGAGTTAATACGCACGAGCCGGATCTCCGTTTTCTTCACTCTTGTTGTTTACGGGGGGATGAAATTGTCCAGCCAGCGGGGCGAACGTATTTTTGATGGAAACGAGGCGACTGGCTTCAGGCAGCTCTCCCATATAATCCCTGCCCGACAGACTGAGATCCGCACGGAGCTTTCTGCTAGTTTTCAGCACGCCAGCCTGCGATGAGTTCTTCTGGCAGAAGTTAAAGGACGAGCCCCCATTTTTCCTTTTGATTTTCTTTCTTTTTTCTTCTCTAAACGATCCGCATCGTTTTCCTCGCCGGACAGCCCGATAATAACAACGATCAAAATAAATCTCAGAAACATTTCTTCAGCATCGTCCCCAGCCGAAGAGCCCAATGAACGGCTGCTGGCTCTGATTTCGTCGCCTTGCGCCGGTTTCCTCTCCAGCTCGTCCGCTATTTTGATCTCTGCATGAAAAGTCCAGCGGAAAGTCTCGCAGCAGCATGCCGAGGAGAAAGCAGCAAGCACCGCGGCGGTCAGCAGGTAAGCCCCGGCTCTGCAACCGAACACTCCCACCCCCCCACATCAGAAAGGCTCCAGCACGCACACTTCGCTCCCTCCCCGGGTAGGATACAAAGCCAGGGATCAGCACAGATGTGTCTACCCCGGACAAGTTCACGCAGTAGCTCCAAAGGCCTGATGCAGGACACGATATAAGCGCTCAAAGACCACACGTCCGTGGCTTATCGGTGAATTGTAGCTCAGAGTGAAGCAAAACAAATGTGAAGTTTAATCTGCGCAGTTTTCAACACTCAACCCAAAATAAAGTTTATTTAAATAACCTAGAGCGTAATCTCCGATCTCTATTGGGAACGGTAGCGTGTCCTTAGTTTAAGCAGCCATTATTCAGTGCCAACTTTTCCCGTTAGAAGCAAATGCGCTGAGCTGCACTTTAGTTTCAAGCTTTAAATCTGATCCTCCACTAGGTTGTCAGCATCCAAGTTCTCCAAACAAAAGCTCATCTTATCTCATTTTTACAAGCTTACGTGCTTGATGCGTTAGTGTCAAAAAAAAAAAACAAGAAAGAAAAGAAAAAGAAAGAAAGAGGGGGGAAAGGGAAAGTAGCGTATTTTCAGCTTGTGTTCCGCTCTGGGATTGCCATCCTTGATTTGATGCTTGATTGATCGCCTGTCATGCGACTGCCTTTGATCTATTCATTCCTGATAAACATCAGTAAATCATTCACCATAGAGACACGCATGCGCCCGGCAGCTGGACTCCCTCAAAGGATAACTTTTTGGCCCCCGCAGAGGAGCAAAGAAAAGACAAATTGAAAGAAAAGTTCTCAAGCGGGATAAATACTTTGCGTTTAATACCCCAAGGGGGAGGGAACAAGGGAGGAGGGGTGCTGGGGCGTAGCAAGATCACAGGGTGAACTCCTATGGTCACTTCAGACCTGACCTCGTGTTCATCCTGCAGAAACAGGAAATGCTGTTTAACTTGAGTGCATCTGATATTAAGCATGGATAGAAAAGTGAGGAGAAGTTGTTCTGGAAGTCATCAGAGGAATCTGATTGATTCAGTGTGGTATAAAAAATGCAAGTTTAGTATAATCAAACTAACAATTGCTAATTAACTTTTCCAGTTTTGGCAGGCTGTGTATTAGCTTCCTAAATATGAGATGGAAAACTGTAATCGCACTCTATAAACATAGCTTAATGTGATTTAGAGGAAGGTGTACTGTGAAGTGCCAAAAGTCCTGTTTTCATTTGAGAAAAGGGAAAGATCAGTGAAGTAAATTCCACTTTAACAGCCTGACTTTTGACAGTCCGGCCTACGTGTTGTCATTAAGTTGACCAGACGTGAGCTGCTCTGCGAGAGAGTCGCATGTTTGCCTGATTCCATTTGATGTCCCTGCGAGAGACGGCTGTGATTGACATGCATTTCCAAATGACGGGGGAAAGAGGAGCCTTTGAAGTTCATGCAGTAATGACCAAAGCCGAATAAAACAGCTGTAGAATGTTAAGCAGGCAGTGGAAATGTGAGGTTAAGCAGACTTAATCAAGGTTGTGACGGGAAGACTTTGAACTCGGTGGGGCTGTAATTTCTAATTGACGCGAGGCTTTAGTGATGATAGAGAGAAATGTGTTTGAAGAACAAGCCTGCATGGTGAAAATGAATAGTGGCGGTTTATATACCTCTGCCACAGCTTTGCTAGCGAAAACCCCCCATAGGAGAGCAGAAAACATGGGGGGGGGGGTTATGTTTTGTCTTTTCCAGACTCTTCTGGTCATTTGGCTGAGCTCTGAAGTGGCCCCATTCCTGCTCAGCTTTTGAATATTGATTCGATTGTCTGCTTTTTCTGACAGACACATACATCACAGGCAGTAATGGTCAATCCTAACTTGGCAGGCTTTGTCTCGACATTATTTCCAGTACTTGACATATGGTCAATCCAAAAACTTTTAACACCTCCGCTGATGTGCGTGTGCCTGCGTGAGACTGTTTCCTCAGTAAAACGGTGTACACACCTATAAACACAGGCTATTTTTATAATGCATTACCAGATATTTCCACAACCCAGATTTGTCACTTTGGAGTTGCACTGAAACAAAATGTTGCATATGCTCCTCAGAGAGAGAGAGCGGGAGACAGGGTTTCAATAGCTCTTTGTATGCCATTTCAAATGGGCTCTGTTTCATCAGTCACAGTGATGATTTTAGACCCTGTAATGGCGCTGTACCCTATCTAGTTTATGACCAGTGACAATACATCAGTGTTCTTTCATTTGGAACCGCATTACTGCATCTGTTAGTTTTGGCAGTTGAGTTCAGTGCAGAGCAATTTGAGCAGTAGAGACTTTTGCTGCAGTCATTTGTCGTCATTTTCATTCTTTCTTTCTTTCTTTTTCCCTTTTCTTTTTTCCGTCTCCCTTCACCAAAGTGCAGCTATGTACATGCATTCCTTGAGTAATTAATGGAAGCTAAACAATGCAGCGATGTGAAGTAACAATAATCAAGGATGAGAATACACAAGTGTGGTGAGAGATTGATTTGTAAAAATAAACCACACTAAAAGAGCAACCTGTGTGGTTTTTCTTTTTAAATCTTTATACGAACAGTTTGCTGACTTTGCCCATGCTAGCTTAAGGTAAAACAGCTGCAAAGAGTGCATGTGTTGCCATTGTGCCAGTGTTGCTTTAATTTAAGTGCAATTAAAGTCGGGCCTGAAACCATTACCCAACAATTTAAACGTCACCAGCGAGTTTAGTTGCTTATCAAACAAGAAAAATATCCAACACTGACCGGATCTTGACTCTTGTTTATCACAGGAAATCCAACATCTTTGGGTTTTGCCTCGTTTGGTCGCATTTTCCTTTGTATTTTTGGACATTTTGCAGATTAACCGATGAGTCGAGATGGTTAGCTAAACCATAAAAGGTTTAAAAGCACACAATCAATGCTACAGACTCTGACATTAACTTAAGCTCGTGCCACTTTTTAAAGAAAAGGACCTCTTAGACTGTTTAGTAGCAAGGTTGTCTTCAAAAATGACAGCACGTTCTATATACTAGACCAAGATAACCAGCGTTTAGTTTAATTAGCAGATAGGCGATACTTTATATAACATTTACAGAGAAGACATAACTCTAGATTTGCCTCGATGCAGAGGTCACAGGTTTGATTGCTGCTTGAAAATTAATGGTATTGCCGCATGTCTCATCCTGCCTCTAGTTTGCCAACCGCGATATCTTAAATCAAACACTGTCACTCTAAGTAATGAATCTGTCAACTAATCATTCAACACGTGAGCGTGATTACAGTGTGACACCGTGTCAGATGTATTCCTCGGGATTTAAAAAGGTCTAGCTTCAAGAAAAGAAAAAAATAAGGACGAAAGGATCGTCTTGATTACGTACCCCGCACCACGCTCACTTTTACTGGCTGAAGTAAAAGAGAAAGAGGAAGAGGGAGCACACTGTGAAGTGACCAATCCACTGTGAGCTGAGCAGGATGCAGCTCCATAAATGTCTATATACTCACGCGTGCCCTGTTTTCAGTTCCTGTTCGCAGTTAAAAGCCCAAGTTTCGAAAGATTTGATCCTGATCCTGATCCTCATCTCCTCTGACAGCCGAGCGATCAGTTCCTGTGCTGACAGAATTAGTGCAGGTCACGATGAGAGAGAAAGATGCTGCTACGCTGTTAAACATGGCTGCGTGGCCCTTTCAGAAGACAGTAATTGGTTTTCCTTTCCTGCTCTCCTGATAAATTTGTAAGGTAACTGAGTAGGTTTGACTGTGTAGCTAATTAGAAGTTTAGCACTCTAAACATAAATCACTCAGGTTATAATCACAGACTGTGGATGCTGTTCTTTTTTTTTTTTCTTTCCTTTTTTTAAATATGCATCATTCGACGTGCGCTGTAAACTAACTTCACTGCTACATTTTAATGATTTCTTTGTAGCTTAGCTCTACACATGTTTAATTAAAGCACCGTGCAGCATTCAGCTACACCGAAGCCACAACAAGCCAGGATGCACACACATTGCCTAGCCCTGTGAGCGTCTTCACTGACATCAGCGGCTGCCTTCTTCTCTCCTAAATAGATTGCCCTATGCTGCCACTATCTCTGCCTCAAAAGGAGTCTCTTAATTATGACTCGGGGGGTGGGGGGTGGGGCTTCCCTTCTCCTTGACGGCATCGTTAGCTGTGGTCCCTAATTATCCAGGTAGCTGACAGATCAGTGACAGGTCCACCGATTACTGCTGACAAATTCAGCAAGGTGTCAAGTCTGCAAGCTGCCTTGATAAAAATCAACTCGGTATCACCCGCTTCTCATGTGCCCACCTCAGTTGTTCAAGTGTAAACTCAACAACAGCTGAGGTGGCTCCGAGTTTGCCTGCAGCATCACGTGACAATCAAAAACGCGCCGGTGACAAAGAAGCCGTTGCTCTGATCGTGGGTAACTCGACTCAAGTAGCCATGCGGTAGGCGTTAGAGGCCTTTTAATAGTTTAACGTGAATGCGGCTTTCCGCGAGTGTGAGAAGATTTTCTTAATGCTCTGCCTTTCCCTCTGATCTTTCTGCTAACAGCCTTTTGGTTTGTTTGACAGAGCAGGAACAAAGTTCCTAGCCGAGCAGCGTTAATACATTTTGTTGTTGCTACTTGGCATTGTATTCCTCTGCAGGAATTTAGCTCGCGGCGTCTGTCAGCTGAGAAACAAGCACAAAATGATGACTATTAGAACCTTATGTTAGTTTTATCGGGATGCTTCTGATAATGGATTTAATGACATTTGTCAGGGTTTGAAGCAGTGCTGAGAGGGGGAAAAACATATGTGGAGTGAAAAGTGTGTTTCTTGCTGTGAATGTGTGTGTGAACCAATCTGCATCACTGGGCAAGATGAGGAGTTTGCTCAGCCCTGTGTGTGTGTGTGTGTGTGTGTGTGTGTGTGTGTGTGTGTGT